CCAGCTGTGGGGGCTCGGCCGAAGCGCCCGCCCCGCCGGGCGAACAGGGAACGGCGTGCGGTTTTCTCCGTGCTTGGTTCAGCCATCAGAGCGGTCACTCTTGTAGTGCTAAAGTAGGTATAGTACCCAGGTAAGACCAGTTCGGTCAGATTCGGATGCTCTTTGTACCCAAAATTTTGCAAAGTGAGGAGAAATCCCGTGTCATGGCTATCAGCTATGATCTTCTTAGCATGCAGATGCATTTTCTGACCTAATCACTGGGGTGATCGGCTCCTGGAAGAATGTTAAAATGCAACTGCTTTCTGAAATGAGATCTTCTACCGCTTTGACCGATGTATCTGGATTACAGAAGCTTTATGTTGTATTAGGCTGTGAACCACACTCGGTTTGTTTTCCAAGGTAATGGGGATATGCCAACATGTGCTTATGTTTAATCCCCTTCTTTGACCCCACATAGAGCACCAGTTTAGTTTATTTAGCCCATTCCAATTATCAACAGAGCTTTTTTCTAGGTGAGGAAGGGGGCTCAAGCGTTCTGTCTTGGGGAACACCTGGACAGGGATATGTGTGAAAAATTAATTATGGCTTAGGGTAGGTATTTTTAAAGAGGAAAAGTGTATTTGAGCCTCTTCATACTACAATGATGAAAGGGCAGATTCATGGTTTTGAGACCCTTCTGCAAAATATCACGTGCTGGGGCTGAATATGATACCTCGAAGCCAGCCCTGAGTACTGACAGGTAGCGTGCTGGTGACAAATTCATGGGTACGGAATGCTTTTCATTCTGACTGTTCATTCCAACCAGTCCTGGCTAGCAGGATTTTTACAAAGCATGGGAAATGCCTCTAGAGGAAGCCTCCATTTTGATGGCTGTGCCTAACTTGCCTGATTGTGGTGCTCCTGAGTTTGCTGTCAGGTTTTTGAAATGTTAAAACATAATTTCCAGATTCCTGTGTTGGATGCTTCTTCGCTAAGAGTCTGGAAAATAACTCTGGTTTTCTTGGGTTTTGGTGGTAAATAAGTTTGGCTGTGGGAAGCACATGTTCTTACAAAGACAGAGCACACAATTAAAGTTCCCTTTCTTGATAATTAGAGATTTTAAATATTTAGTAGATGAAATGCAATATTCAAGGAACCAGAGCAGTTGAGTGAATAGCCTATACGTTTCTTTTGGCATGAGGTGTGTGGGGGTGTGTGTGAAATGTTTATTTCTTCAAAGCAATAGGTATTAAAAATGCTTTTGAAAGTTAATTAAGTAAATGTGTAGTATATGTAATACGCTTGAGTACGATCCATGGATTAGAGTGAAATTTCAACACTCAGTTCACTTGCTTGGAGAACGCAGTTCTGTTTTGATACCCGGGTGGACTAACTAAGCATAGCAGTAGAAAATCCGGGGTGTAAGCCACAGGTGACTGTTGAGCGTAATAGTTCAGTATGTTGTAGAGAAACTCAGGAATCTAGAAAATGCTGAACTGCTATGTGCTAATTTGGCATGCAGTACTACGGTACTTTCCAGTGGCTAATCAAAATAAAGTTGAATCAGAAAACCATCAAACTTGTGTCATGCGATCAAAATATTGGAGATTTATCTACAAATAGAAGCACAAGGAGCAGCCTTTATTGCATTTGGCAAAGAGCTGAAGGATATCACATTTCTTTCTAATCATTTTTGCGTGCTGTTATGGCTGTTTATTTTTCTGCAAGCATTAGTCTGATGAATTTTATGAGCATGAACGAGATTTTAAATGCCCTGGAACACACAGTGTTTCATCTTGGACTGGCCATTATAAGCATAGATTCAGTTTTGCAGTTTGAAATGAAATTGCTCTGGAGTCATTTGCTCTCAGTGACAAGAAAAATCAGCAGTAAAAGCATCTAATGGGATTTTTGAGCAATGGAAGTAGCCTTGTTTGTTGGAGCATCCTTAGTACCCATGACCAAGGTTGATGGAGCGACGCTCCCGCTAGCTTTAATAAGTTGCATGTCTTTGTAGCGTGGTCTGCATCAGAATGCTGGGGGATGTAGATTCCTTCGAGGTGTACTTTTAGGAAGCCCCAGAACATCTTGTGACGGCATATTCCTGCATGCTCGCTCTCTATTTCTGTGCATATGGTGTTTATCGGTGCTTTTAGACATCCATTCTGAAGCATGCTTTTTTCTTTTCTGTCTTTTCAGACAGTTACTTAGGCCTTCTAAAACCGTCTGTCTTGAGAATAGACTAGGGAAGCATCTGCTCTCTTCAGCATCAGCTTTATCCAAGATACCGTATGGTTGTTGTATAACATAATATTTTCCGTGTCGTTACTTGCGTAGCAGAGTAACTGCAGGACTCTGCCTGATTCAGGTTAAACTGAACACTCGAGAGAAAGAGGTACTAGGAATTTACTATTTTTACATGATTGCCATTTTTTCTCGCATGCTTGAGCTTAGGTATTATCTTTGCTCATTTCAGGACTGCCTCTGAATCGCAGTCCAGAAAGAAGAAACAATCGTGTTGATTTAAGTTGAACATTTGTCTCTAAGATTAAGAACAAAGCCATGCCAGTGCTTTCGGAAGACTCAGGTAACTAATCTGCATGCTTTCAACAGACCAGTGACTGCAATCTTAGTGTATGTGTTCCACACGGGAGATGAATTCAAATTGAAGTTAAATAAAATAGAATTAAGAGAGTTCAACTACATTTCTTAGCAATTACCTAAAAGAAAATGAGGAAGGTGGAGTATAAAAGGTGGAAATGAATAAAGTTAGATGTCAGGAAATGCCTAGTTTCACAAGAATCCTAAGAGCCCCTGGATATTGCCCATAGACAGGCTCCTATGGACAGACTTGGACCTCTCAGTGTAACACTGGCTTCTACGCATGCTTACTAAAGATCGGCCCTTATATCTGTGCTGCTCGCTGTGCCACTTCTTAATATTTTCTGAATAGGTGTTGGTAAGCTTTGTTAATGTTCCCTTTGACTTACAATGCAGTGATTCCATTCAAGGCTTGCTAACCAGCTTCTCCAGTATGCTACCCAGGGTGAAGTCATATACATTAATGATGCTGAGTTTTAAAGCAGAAATGGGTTTGAGTCTCCTGGATCCAAATGCACTCTAAAGTTCACGGGGAGAATAGCCAAAGGAGCAGATTTTAGCCATCCCCCCTCTTTTTTTGTTCTTGTTTTTTTTTTCCCAGCCATGGTCCACCAGGAAAAACCTAATGCAAAATTGGGATATTGCTGATGTAAGCACTTTTTAGAAAACTAGCCACAAGCTTTGCTTCCACTGCAGTAGAGATCTATGCCAGTCCTTTCCTCCTCTGGTCAGACCTAAATTCTAATAGGTGCCTCGGAGGTAGAAAGGGCAGGATAACACTTGGGAGCAAAGTTGCTCGGGAAGTGGAGCTGGTAGCTGTGCAGCAGGTTGGTAGTTCAGCCATTTTTCGAGTCTGCTGTGGCACTCTAATAACTCCAAGTTTGTTAGAAGGCTAGCTGTTCCAGAAACAAAGGGTAATTAATATGAAGGGGGAGACTTCAAAAGTAATGTCTTCAAAAATATGTATTGCTTTGGTAGCTTTTGCCTTAAGATGATATATGTTATATCCTAAGTTGTGTTTGCTGCTTAAGAAGGGAGCGTTACAAAATGAGTGGAGATAAGCACAAATATCTCTGCAAACTTAATGCTCACCAAGATGGTACCCAAGTAAACGTAGCTGATGTTAAGTCTGCAATAGAAGGTCCTGTGAGACATGCTAGCTACAAAGCTTTTGTTCTGTCTTGAATTTAAATTTAGGATTGCATGAAACTTTGGCCCTTTTGACATCTCAGCTAAGACCTGATTCAAATCATAAAGAGGAGATGGGATTCCTTAGGGATGTCTTCAGTGAAAAGAGTCTCAGCTACCTGATGAAGGTAAAAGTTCATTTATGAACATACATTTTCCTTACAGGTTCCTTACTCTCTGTCCCATGATTTATTAACCGTTTACTTTGCCAGAGTTTCTGGTTTTTGTAGATTTCTATAACGACCAAAGCATGGATTTATTTAAGCACAAACATTAAGAATATTCATTGACAATTAACGTATTTTGTTCAGAAAAAACATTACTGCCTTCATTGCCAAAATGCAGATACAATGCCCTGCAGCTAAAAAGCGGTGTGAGACGGCTTAATTTTTTCCCTTATGCTGCTGAGGTCTTAACAGATTTTCTGGCTGTCTGTGAAACTAGCATGAGCAAAAAGAAAACTAGAAAACTCCTCAGCAAAACAAAAATAACCCCAAGAGAGGTTATTTTTCTCACACTTCTCTCAGAAAAAATATATTCCTTAGATACAAAAATATTCCAGTGTAGGTATATTTAGGAAGTTTTATATCTCTCCGTAGTAACATACCTGAATAATCTTTTTCAGATTCATGAAAAACTCCGTCATTATGAAAGACAGAGTCCAACTCCTGTTTTACATAGTGCAGCAGGATTAGTGGAAGATGTGAGTAAAAATTCTTGTCTCCTTATTTTCCTGTTACTTTCTAACAAATCAAAGCTTTGCAGTTGTGCTATGTGTGTACGTATTTCTCATCTTCCCCAACTGTTTCTGTAATCTGTTGGCTAGGTTCACTCATGATTGAGGAAACGAGAGCTCAGAAATGCCATGTCATTAAATTTCCAGTGAAGACAGACACAGGCAGGTAGAACAGAAGGATGTTATTGATGGCCTTCGTAAGGGAGAGGCTGCAAAAAGCGTTTGGTCCTTTCTTGACAATAGACTATCCCAGCTAAGCATTCAGTCTTAAGGACTTAAATCCATTACAACCCAAGCAGCTTTGCTGTTCATGTAGAATAGTTTGGGTTGGAAGGGACCTTGAAAGATCATCTAGCCTAACCGCCCTGCCGTGGGCTTGGCCACCTTGCACTAGATCAGGTTGCTCAAAGCCCTGTCCAGCTTGGCTTTGAACATTTCCAGTGGTGGGGCATCCACAACTTCTCTGGGCAACCTGTTCCAGCATCTCACTACCCCCATCATAAAAAAAATTCTTCCTTATATCCAATCTAAATCTGCCCTCTTTTGGTTTAAAACTGCTGCCCCTTGTCACTACAAACCTTGGTGAAGAGTTTTTCTCCATCTTTCTTTAAGCACCCCTTATATATTGAAAGGCAGCAGTAAGGAGCCTTCTCTTCTCCACGCTGAACAACCTTAATGCTATATGACTTCCCCATCTAGAACCCTTTATGGGGAAAGGAAATTGCTTTTGCCTCAACCCCTTCTCCCTTCCTCCTCCCTCCTGCCCCTTCTCTCTCCTCTTACCCACCCAGTCTTGTGCAAAAGTGCTTCCATTATTTCTCTAATCTTTTGTTTGGAAGACCTGAGACTCCAGGGCATATTTTGGTATCCAGGCTTTGCAGGGGAACAAGGGAACTTCTGTTGCATGTTCCACACGTGTAATGCTACCTGGTTACAGGGAGGATTGAACTCCTTTATCACAGTACAAGCACAAGAGTGTTGTTTCACATACCACTTAGTGATTCTATATATAATTTTAAAATTTCAGAACTTGTTCCTGAAATTATATTGGCAGAATCACTCTTAAAATATATGTTTAGGGGATAGGATCCTGCTTTCTGATGATATCTTCTTGCACTATCTAATAAAAATAAGATAGATGAAGAAGCTTTCGTTTCTTTTAGGATTCACATGCTATCGATTTGGATTGGTTTTGATCTGTGCACTCTACTTTGTGGGGTGACAGAAGTTAGCAAACACTCACCAGAACACTCGCTTGCAAATACATGATCTTATTTGGTGGACTCCTTTTCTTCTGAGCTTGTTAATTTTTATTTTAAAGGTTATAGAAGAATTGCAGACTGCACCAGTGAACAATGAAGAAAAAGAGCTACTTCAGCTGTTGTCAACGCCACATCTAAGGGTAAAAAACGCACCAAAGACCTTAACAAAATTCCTTTGCAGAATTCCAATAGCATGTTTTGTAATGGAAAAGATACACTGGAGAATCCCAAAGAGAAAGGAAAAACCTCCTACGAACTGTAGTTCTATTCCACTATGATCTCCTGCACAGGCTACAGGATGCGAAGGGGATTGGGAAGACACAGCCTAGGCCTTTCATGCACAATGCACCGTGTTGTCTTCCCTCCCCTCCTTAGTATTTTCTGAGGGAGCAGAAGAGAAAAGGTTACCATTTCTCAACTTTTTTTTCTTTCCATAGTCCACCTCCATTCTCTAGGTTTATTTAGGCTGAGCTTTGTAATTGCCTGGATTTACTTTAAATATCGACATATGCCAATATATGGTTTACGTGATGGGTAAGGTAATTGCTAAATCTTTGAGGGGGGGATTTATGGTGAGGGTGGGAAGGGGGAGGCTTAAGTTTGCTGTAATGTTGGAAACATGAGAACTGGAAACTGTGATATTACCCCACTAAAGTACTGTTTCTTACTTCCTTTATGCAGGCAATGCTTGTAGTACATGACACTGTAGCACAGAAGAACTTTGACCCAGTCCTTCCACCTCTACCTGATAACTTTGATGATGATTTTGATGAGGAATCAGTGAAAATTGTTCGGCTAGTGAAAAATAAAGAACCCTTGGTACATATAAGATAACCTATCTCTAGTCATAAAACTGTGTAGTGCAAAAAGCGTTATTGTGAGTATGGAGGAGATACTTGAAGATGTCATCAGTCTGCAAAAACTAGGAGTGTTCTGAAGCTAGTAAAATAACATAAAAAGAATACTTTGGTAAATACACCTTCACAGTTTTCCATGAGATGCTTTGTAGGCACGGATTTGTAACGCCAGTTAACACAGGGAACACGATCTCTGAGGAAACTGTGTTGAAGCAGTTACGCTTATACATATTAATTATTTTCATATTGTAGCTAACGTTCAGTGAATTAATACCTTCATTTGCATAAAAGTCAGTGATCTATGGTAAGAGCATGTTTGATAGCTGTATGTAAACATTATATTGCCAAGGTACTATTTTTATACAGATTGAAAAATTGATTTCCTAAGAAAAAACAATTGCGTTGGGGAAGAAATCTGCTAAAGTGCTTTTTGTGTGTGACTGTAGTAGAAGAGAGCAATAACTTAATTCCTGATTAAAGCATTATAGTGCCAGCAGAAGTAGGAGAAGGGGGGAAAAAAAAAATCTATTTACTTGGCTTTCCTTGCCTTTAAATGTAAAAGTGCTGGCTGTATTGTATAAAGATTTAGAAGACGCAGCGAAGGCTTGTTGTAAGAAATTCTGCTTTGTGCACTTGAGTGACTTTGATCACCACAGTAACGTAGGTGGCGTAAGCAAAGTCGGCAGAAAGGACGGTGTGCCCACCTTTCCACAATCGCATGACGTGGGCACAGGCAAAAGTTGAATAATGGTGAAAATTGTCAAGGAGGAAGACAAAATTTATAGAACAAATTAACTCCAGTTTAAAAGACACATTAGCTTACGTGTTATTTCACCGCTTACTGCATTCTAAGCAAAATTTTTATGATGGTTTCATGGAGGGGTATGTTTTCCTTCAGGGAGCTACCATCAGAAGAGATGAGCATACAGGAGCTGTGATTGTAGCAAGGATCATGAGAGGTGGTGCAGCTGATCGTAGCGGTAAGTTTCTGAAGAAAAGGGGATTTAAAATTGCATTTATAAACTGTTTTAAAATTCCCCAAATTATGCATGCACAAATGGACTGTAGACACATACCTAGAGCAATAATCTCTTAACTAAATCCGATGGTTATTCATTCCAAAGCCAGTCCTTTGGGCATGGGCGTTTAATATATGTATAGTCTGGTTTGTACCAAAAAAAAAAAGATAAGAGCTTATTGAAATATTAATGGGCAACTGTTAAATGTTGAGTCTGAACCTAGTATGTAGTCTCTCTGTGTAGTCAGTGGAGGGAGGTGGATGTTGTTGGAGAACAAATCATCCCAAGGAGCTTCAGAATGTGATAGGTCACTGCTAGAATTGCCTTTCTTCCTTACTGACTGTAAAGGGAGCCTACGTGGTAAGCTCACTGGACAACTGAATTTTGGGTGTCTAGTGGCAGGAGAGTCTTCCATGGGTAGGCTGTCATTCAACATTTCAGGATATACGGGGTTAATTCCTGCAGGATTTGACCTTCCATTTTCTAGAAAGTGAGCATCCAGATTCTATTAAATAAGCTGAATTGACTTTACATGAGAATTATAGACTCCGAGCCTCATGCTCTTTTTTTAATATACAAGTAATGCAATCCCAGAATTAATGAATTACTGTGATGAAAAAATATTAGCTAATTACAGCTTTCTTCTTGATCGTTATCGTTCTTCAAATTAGTGTAATCTGATAAATGTAATATGAAATGACTAGAGCGTGCGCTTAGCATTTCTGTGTTTCATCAGTAATCTATTAATTTAATTAGATATGTTTTTCTCTGAAATAGCCGCTAGGACAAAATGCCACCAGAGATGGGAGAAGTAGGTCTAAGCTTCAGAAGAAAGAAAAGAATGGTTTTTACTTTTAGTCTAGTATCTTGGTGTATTCAGTATATTGTGTGTGCGGTTTTCTGTTTGCTTTACTGAGGAATCCTTTTACGTCAGTTAACTGTAGTTATATAACACAAGTACAATATTTCTTACTGGATAAACAAACCTAAAACTTGTAAGAGCCTCTTCATGGCTTGTTAAAAAAATTAGACCAGCGTTCTCTCTGGGACTGTGTAGTGTTGATCTGTCAGTTGACGACCATGTCGTTTCTGCCGTTGCGGTGAGCAGCGTGTCTCCCAACTCTATGAGATTTGATCATCTTCATGAAACTATTCCAGTTTTGATTCTTAGGGCTGATCCAAATATAGAGGCAGTGATTTTCCAGAGTACCTTGCCACATGTTCTCCTGTCTCCCCTCTGGTCTCCTATGAGACTGTGCTGCGTGGGAAAAAAAAAAAAAAAGCCGTATGGCCTGAGGGCGGGAGGCTTCAGAGCAGATTGCCAACAGAGGCATTTGGCTCTGGTGGGAGACGCATTTAGGGGAAGGGAGGTGAAGGGGTACATGCTATCGACCTAGGCTGGACATCAGAGGAGTGGTGCTTCCCAGTCTGTAGACTTATTTTTATTTACTTACTGTCTTTTCAGGTCTTGTCCATGTTGGAGATGAACTAAGAGAAGTCAATGGTATTACTGTGCTTCACAAACGACCAGAAGAAATAAGTCAGATTTTGGTCTGCACTGATTTTTCATTTCAAGATCTTTTCTGTTGAGTGATCTAGTGATTACAATAGGTGATGAAATTTAACCATGAGTTTAACATATGTATAGAGCTAAAAGGTGCAATCCCTGCTTGTCTTTGCATTAAGAGTTTTTCTTCTCCCAGTGGATTAGTCTTCTCCTTTTGACTTCAGAAACTTGTGCAAACTGAGTCGGTACCAAGTAAGATATAAATAGAAGGTTACATGTTGCTCTGGTGAGAACTTTCATTTCAAACTTTGTTGATGACGAGCAATTTGCAAATTAAAAATGCATTCCTAGAAGATAAGTAGTTTATTCATAATAAGGTACGTTAGGAAGCTGAAGAAAGTCTTGGATGTGTGTCCAGTAGAGCTGTCAGTCTGTTCTTTACCAGCAGATTCCTTGTAACATTAGCAAGTTCTTGCTTCAAGCTTCTCTAACATTAATGCCCACAAGTTTTGGTAACTAAACCTCCACATCTGTGATCTGCCTGCTGCATTGCAGAAAGTGTTGTAGCTCTTAGGCTTATTTGTCTCTGACTCCCCTCCTGTGGCTTGGTTCCCTCTTGTCATTGTGTGGAGTGGAGTTAGGGACACAGTAAGAAGAATGGCAGCACTAGGATACTGAAGTATCTGGCATCGGTTCCATCACCTAATTTAGATTTGGATCAAAGTAATCCTGAATAAGGAGAATGACTGCTTTGCACTTGGGTGGGCAGGATCAAAATCGTATTTTGAAATGCTGTGTAATTTTATTTGTGGGGATGCTGGAATGCTAGTCATCTATCCTGTTTTACATGCCTGCAATGTAATAGTTTCCTTTTCACGATTTATTTTTTGAGGAAGAGCTACAAATCTTTGTCCAAGCTGATTGTCTGGGTTTCCTTTTTAATCTGTGCAGAATAGCAGGCTTCTCTAGGACACAGTTCATCTCATCCAAAATAAGGAATCTAAAATAGATGAGATAAACGTATTCTAGACTTCCAAAGCACCTGGAAGTGCTTTTTAATTTACTGTCACTAATAGTTGAAATTTACTGGCAAAGATTTTGAGTGAAAGTAAATGTTTGCTTTGTAGATGTTTACATTTCACCCTAACCGCTTAGCCACTATGTGGGAAAATACAGCAATATTTCTCAAAGGAGCACTTCAAAATGGTTAGTCTGCAAAAACTTAAGTTAGTGCCGTACTAAAAGCCACAGAAGTATTTAATGCCCTGTGAACTGTCATCCAGAAATTAATGCAGTTGCTAAAAGCAAGTGAAGGAATTTTAATGCAGGTCTTGATATGTTCTAATCAAGTAGTTACTGTGGATGTCTCCATGGGGAAGACATTGTTGTGGAGGATGCATGTAATTTCATGATAGTCTCTGTCATGAAGTTAAATAGCAGATTAGCTTGGCCTGTTAAAGTTCTGAGAAGAGACAGATGCTAGCTCCGAAACTGGACCTTGAATAGTCTGTCTGCTTTGTGTCCTTGTCCTGCTTTCACAGTAAAACACGTTTCTCTCTTCCTCAGGCTCAGTCTCAGGGGTCAATAACGTTAAAAATAATTCCAGCCATCAAAGAAGAGGATCGTCTAAAAGACAGCAAGGTACGCAACTTGGTGAAATACTGAAGCACACGTTTTCATGTTTACACAATGCTGGCATCTCTGTAAATGCAAGATCCCTGCTTTTTTAGTGAGGAGTGTCCCAGACCCATAATTGAACTAAAAAGATAGTAGAGCAGTTTCTTGTTGTAAAATGCAGTGCCCTTTTATTCAGTAGAATTACTTAGGTGACACCTCTCCTCTTCATCATCTTGGCACATGTTCTTTCGTAACATTTCTGAAATCTAACCTCTTCTTTTTGCTCACGTAATTAATATTGGTGTTCCTGCCAGTCTCCTCTTACCATGGCAGCTGCTATCTGTCCATTATCTCTGGGCATTTTGCCACTCGCTTGAGTCAAAACAGACCTATTTGCAAACAGAGCTGCATTCATCAGGCGACCCCATTAGCCCACTGCAAACATCGACGTGCCTCTCCGAGTGCTCTGTTTGCCCTTCTCGACCAGCAATGGCTTCCTGTTTGACAGGTCCCTTGCGGGATTCCTCTGTTGACCTCTAGTTCTGCTTCCCTGCTTTCAGTTGCCAGTTTTTTCCGTGAAGCCCCGCAAATCACTTCTTTTAAAAGTAGTTCTATTGTGATGCATTATATAGTGGTAAGATACAAATCCAAATTGAAATAGTAGATTTTGATGCGTTAAAGGAGCATTTTGAGGACAGTCTTTATAATTAGGCAACTTCGCCATGAATCCCTTTTTACTGTTTTCTCCCTCCCCTTAATTTTTTTCCTTTGTTGGTTGCATTTTGTACTTGCGTAGACTGTGAACTGGGTTTCTTGGGACTTTGATAATTGAGTCTTGTGTTCTGCAATGCCAATACATAGTGACTGGGTATGTGCTTGAAAGTTAATTTTTCTGCATAAGTAAGTCAAAATGCAGGTGCAGCTTGACTAGATTTCAGTATTTTTGAGTACTGTAAAGCATAAAGGAGAGATGAAGAGTATATAGTTAGCAGTGTAAGCATTGGGGAAGCCTTTTAAAGGTAGTTTGAAATCCCAAATAGGACAAGAAGAAAGGATGTGTTACTTTCTTTTAAAGGTGTTTATGAGGGCGCTTTTCTGCTATAATCCCAAAGAAGACAGAGCCATTCCCTGCCAGGAGGCTGGGCTGCCATTTAAGAGACGACATGTCCTAGAAGTTGTAAGCCAAGATGATCCTACGTGGTGGCAAGCAAAGCGAGTTGGAGATACCAACCTCAGAGCAGGCTTGATCCCCTCAAAACAGTTCCAAGAAAGGTTTGTCAGTGAAGATTACAGAGTTTTTCTCACACATACAATGTCTCACTGATTTTATGCTGCCTTTTTTCACAGGAAATGAAGGGTAGGATCATGCCAGGGTGAACAGCAGATGCTTAGAGGAAAGTGCTGAAAAGCTCCATCCTCCTCAATTGCACAATAAACTTCCTAGCTTTCCTTGGCTAGTTTGCCATTGACTTACGCTTCTTAGCATTGAGACAGAAGCAATTGCTAAACAAACATATATGAAATGAAAAGTAGAATATCAGTGTCTTGAACCTTTTGGCTTACAGAGGCACTGATTTCACAGACGTGTTGCTTCAATAGTATAAGAGGAAATGCTGATTTATTGTAACGATTTTGAATTTATGCATGTTGTAGTAGTCAAAAAAGTGTATCTGATCTTTCTTCTGAGAGTATTTAGCTTGGACCCGGATACTTTCTAAACCTTGAGGTCTCTTTGTTTTTACAGCAAGATATGTGCATCTTCTAAAGCAAACATATCCCCCAAGTCTTGTATTACAGTGCAGAAGGCTTATATTTAAGAAGGAATCTGATCTAGGCCACTGGTCTCATTGTATGATTCTTACTCCAAATTACTGGACGTGTTGTCTTCAGATTGTAGGTGTTGCAAAGGTGGGGTATCTAAGAATAAAACAGCTCTGACTTGATTGCTGGCCTCCAAGATTTGCATAGGTTTCTAATAGAGGACTTTGCTCCGCTCTATGAATGCTCCTTTGAAATACTAGGCAAACTCTGCCTGACCAGCTATCCCCCTTCCTGTGCATGCATATTTGTCAACAGATGCTGCCACACTGCAGTCCTTTGGGGGTTTTTTTTCTCCTTTTTCTTTTTTTTTCACATGTTGTAAACTACATGTCAATGTATGCAATAATAGAGAAACTGCTTCAGCGTCTGTTTCCCGAGTGACTGCATAAATGTCTGAGCATCTTCTTTAGTCTGTTGTGAATGTTGGTCTTTTCCTTCAGGAAGAAAATGTGGTTTCCTTTGCCAACAGTGAGGGGTTTCCTGGGGATTGGATTTTTGTGCTGGTTCTTGGGGGGGTTTTTTTGTTTTGGGTTTTTGGGGGTGGGTGGGGTTTTTGAGCAAATTCAAGACTGGAAGATTCGGAGTTGAGCTCTGGTTCATGGTTTTAACACTTCAGAAAATTTTACTTGATACTCTGCTCTCACATTTTCACGTAAGCTGGGTAACTTGGTTTGTTTGATACTAAATAACGGAAAACTCCAAACTGATCTGGAATGCAGTGGATAATTTCTGACTATGCATAGCTGCAGCGATCATTTCGGGGACAGGTTCTCTACTTTCAAGGTCTCTTTAAGGTTAGTGGTTTTAGGAATGTGGCACACAGGAATTTTGCCCATCCTTTGTAAAAATGGCAAATAGAAGTTAGATTCTCAGCAGAATTAGAGTAGAATAGAATAGTTGTTTTCTTAACCTTTCAAAAAAGATTGACTAGGGGAAAGGAAATAGAAAAAAAAATTACATTGGTAGAAGTAACGTGCTGTTGATTTCTGTGCTCTGAGGTATGAAAGCCTAAAACGTTTTTGAATCTTCTCCCTCAGTCACTTATCAGTAGCAGTCTGGGACCATCATGGTTTTAAAGAAAAAGTCTTTTAAAGTGTTGAATCAGAGACGTTTTGTATTTTTAAAAGGAAAAGCACTATTTAATTTTTTATTTTCAGTGCTATATGTATAACATGCTGTAAATTCTTTACAATTCTGAGCTTGCATGGCTAAAATATGATTGTTTTCTATTTAGACGATTGACTTACAGAAGAACAATAGGCACTTTGCAGAATCCCAGAACTGTGAAGAAACCATTATGTAAGTCTGTTCCTTCAGTGATGTCTTAGTTGATACCAACTTCTCGGTATTTTTCTGTTATTTCAATAATGATGCATTTGAATGTTTTGTGTAATCTCTCATTGATTGATTTGCATGGATACAAGCTGCCACGGGAGAGGATTTGGGTTTGAGCTTGATCCTGTGTTGCTAATGCCTATTGTTTTCAAAAAACATGGCTGTCCTCTCGTCCACCTTTCAAGAACATGAGGCCTTGCAAGTTGTTTAGATGCTTTGAAATTTGCTCATGTTCACATTTTTTCTATGGTTTGAAACTGGAAAGCTGCAAAAGTAACCCAGTGCACACTTCTTGACATTCTTGCATAAGTGCCTGAGAAGGCTCTAAGCTCGTATGAAAATAAACTGTAGCTTTAAGGATAAAAATCACTGGAGCTGGCAATACCACTTGCATTTCAGGCTTAGCATTACGAGAGCTGGTCTTAAGTAGACTTTAAAGTGATTCTTGTTTACAGCTCTGAAGCATTTGTCAGTGAATTATTCACATGAAAACTGCTACTTGTGGTGAAATTGCTAGTCAGCGATGAAAGGCAGAAGACGTTCTGTATTATCCCAGACTATAACATTCCTGTTGCTCCTGGGTACCTCAGCACAGCTATTATTGATGTGTGAGGCAGCCCTGTGACTGGGTGAAGCCAGATACTGCTAGGAGTGCCACCCTCGTGGAGGCTAGGAAGCTGGAAATTGTCCGTCTTCAGTGATACATAAGTGAACTTCTGACCCATGGTGCATGGCACATCTCATAAAGAGATACCGGTATTCTTACAGAGATGCAGGTATTCTGCTACAAAGAGCACCATGCACCAATACAGGCTGGGGGATGACCTGCTAGATAGCAGCTCTGCTGAGAGGGACCTGGGACAATAAGCTGACCATGAGCCAGCAATGTGCCCTTGTTGCCAAGAAGGCCAATGGTATCCTGGGGTGTATTAAGAGGAGTGTGGCCAGCAGGTCGAGGGAGGTTATCCTCCCCCTCTACTCTGCCCTGGTGAGACCCCACCTGGAGTACTGTGTCCAGTTCTGGGCTCCCCAGTTCAAGAAAGACTAGGAACTCCTAGAAAGAGTCCAGAGGAGAGCTACTAGGATGATAAAGGGACTGGAGCATCTCCCCTACGAGGAAAGGCTGAGAGAGTTGGGCTTGTTCAGCCTGAAGAAGAGAAGACTGAGAGGGGATCTCATCAACACATACAAATATCTTAAGGGCGGAAGTCAAGAGGACGGAAGCAGTCTGTTTGCAGTGGTGTCCAGCAACAGGACTAGGGGCAATGGATGCAAACTGAAACATAAGAGGTTTCAGCTGAATATGAGGAAGAACTTCTTCACTCTGAGGGTGGCAGAGCACTGGAACAGGCTGCCCAGGGAGGGTGTGGAGTCTCCTTCTCTGGAGATATTCAAAGCCCGCCTGGATGAAGTCCTGTGTAGCATGCTCTAGGTGAGCCTCCTTTAGCAGGGGGGTTGGACTAGATGATCTCCTGAGGTCCCTTCCAACCCTTACGATTCTGTGATTCTGTGAGGAGGGAAGGTGCTCAACCAAATTACAAAATAGTGTTACTGATTTAAATTAAGCTTTTCCAAATTAGTTTCTGTCACATTCAGCGTTAGGAGGCATGTAATAAGGATCGCTACAGCCATTTTTGTCAGACTTTCTTGAGACAATTAAGCTGATAACTGATTATAATGCTATATTTTAGCAAAAAAGTCTTTAATTAGTTGATAAGGGTACATGACTGCATTTTTTTTTAAGATAGAAAGCCTGTTAAGCAAATCAGACCAGAAGAACCTGCCTTTCCATTCCCTCTAATTTTACTCAAATCATTTGCCAGTCTTTTAATATCACAACTCTGCCTTTCATGCTAACTACAGATGATCAGTCTTCCGACAAAGGTAGGTACTCTCCTGACTCATTTTCTGTCTGAATATAAACAACCAGTGCATTTTCTAAAATACTCACAAAGCCCCCAAGCAAAGAGAATGGTAGATATAGCTTGTTCCTACAGCAGTTTATTCCTGAGTTATTATTTAAAATAATTTAATTTGGATTGATGACTTGGGTAATGATAACTTCTAAATTTACTCTCAATTCAAGAGAAATTATTTGTGTCTTCTGATACGCATTTACGTGTTCTGTAGGTTTCTGACTGAGGTTGATAGAGTTGCAAGTTAAATGCAGTCTTTGTATCTGGTATTTCTTTAAAAAAATAAAGAAATGCTGGGGTTTAACATTTTAGAGCACCTGTATCAATCCAAATTTATTTTTCTTTACTGTTCATTTAGACTGTTTTCTGTGTTATTTTCATTATGAGCAACTGTGTGGGGCTCATGCAGTTTATCTGTACCACACGCTTTTCCAAATATCAGGCATTTTCTTTTGAATTCTGCATGCTGTGATTTTTTAATTTTTATTTTTTTCCCACATTACATATGCTTCTTGAGAATAATATTCCAAGTATTGGTATTCCATCAACTTTGGCGAAAGAACTAATCATTTCCTATAACTAGCTGGCCGTGACTGGTATTCCCTATCAAAGTGTGAGTGTGGAAGCAGAGCCTACCTTCAGCAACAGAAGATAGCTCTGATCTTAGCTGTGGGTAGGCTTGTGTTGCCATTAATGGCAGCTAATGTTCTATGAGTATATATTGGCATTGCTTGATTACTTACTTGCATGCAACTATTCGTTAAACCCCAAAGCTCTTTCTCTGGATTGGCATGTTTTGTTAAAGGCTTAAGCTGCGTATATTTTTGCCTGTGGTTGGGCTGGACCCCGAACCGTACACCTCCTTCTTGAAATGAGTGCAGTTCTGTGGATATTGCAGGGCACAGGTGCCTCAATTTTAACAGGCCAGGTAGCCCTCTTTAAGGAAGTATAAGAAGTCAATATTTATCTTAGGATCGCAGTAGTGTGTTTTGCAGCGAAGTATTATGGGGTTTTTTTGCATACCTTTAGGGGCCTTGGGGTGGTTGTAGTTTGAGGAGGGTAGTTTGGCTTTTTTTAACATAGATTTGCATATTATTTTATATACATGCATATGACAAAAGCATCAAATCTTTGCCTTTTTAATAAAGGATTAATAAGCAATGATAACTTAACTTAGTCAAAACAAAGGTGTTTAGAGCTCCATATTTCAGTCCTCTCTGATTCCCTTTTCTCCAAGCCCCAATGATACTGCAATATTAGAAAAGGAATATCCTTACCCAATTGTTCCCATTTGTAAAGTCATACATTAAAAAAAGAGCTCTGTGTTTGTGGGGTGTTCTTTTTTACTTAGGTCTGAATGTTATGCTTTTAGCAGCAGCGCTGATCAAATGTAATGAACGCTGAAGAGCTTAAATTCTGGGAACTGGAAATACCAAGATGTAAAATTCACTTATGCAATATTGACATCAAGCATTTTTAAAAATAGAAACCACTAGCCAAGGCAAATAATTTTTTGTATCATTAATATTTGTGTTGGGAAAAAAAATATATATGTAATGCAGGATATAAAACTTCTTCCCTCACCAATGAGCCAGACTCGTATCACAGGCACTGTTTAAGATGTCTCTCTCCTCTCCCCTGTGCCCTTACCCTCCCTACCCCCTGCTTTTTAATTTACAGAAGACTGTGACTGTGAAGGATATTTCAACGGACAGTACATAGGTGAGAAACCAAAGTCCCTTTCCTCTTCCCTAACACCCCCCTGCAAAAAAAAAAAAAAAAAAAAAAAAAATTAAAAAAGAAAACCTAGCCTATTTACATTAATTTCCCATACATTGATAAACCAGATTATCTGTGTGCAGAGGCATAACTGGACTTCAGCATAGCCGACTCTTGGCAACTCAAGGTGATATGAGGGGGGTTTATTACAGATCGGGTGCTTGGTTTTCTACCCAATATGCAAATTTTTCATCTTTAAGATTAGCATATGTGCATTAATTTATTAAAAAAATTTGTGAGAGTAACTTGTATTCAAAGACAGAGTAACTTCTAGCTGAACAAGCTTGAAAACTTAGATAAGCGTAGACATGACTTAATATATCTTTTGTTTTCCTCTACAGCTGGCTTACGCAGGAGCTTTAGATTAAGTCGTAAAGAGAAGGAGAACAGCCTGAATGAAGGAAAGCAAGCAGAGCAGGCAGACGCAGCAGAGTTCCTAACATACGAAGAAGTCACGAAATACCAGCAGCAGCCTGGTGAACAGCAGAGGCTGGTGGTTTTGATTGGTAAGATACACAATTGGTTCAAAATCTTTCACGTATCTCCCTCTTCCCTTACCACCTGTGCTCCAAGAGGCTTTCTTTAAGTGTTTGGGTTTGGGGTTCTGATGGGGTTTTTTTAAAGGTTTTGCTGGGTTTGGTCAGAGGTTGTTCTCTTCTTTTAAATGACATATAAAAAAAAAAACCAACAACCCCAACCAACCCTTCCCCCCACAAAAAAACCCTCCATAAATTCACCAAATCCTCCTAAACATAATGATACAGGACCAATTCTCATTTTTCTGATTCACTTTCCATCACTTTCCATTGGCTCTCACTCAAACGTGCGTAATTATGCTACCAGAACAATTGATGAAAAGGTAAATGTTAGAATTACTTGACAAAACCTGGCATGCAGTTTTAATTCAGTGTGCTTCACAGCTTTGTGTTAAGCCAGTTTCCCAGGGTGTCATAGAATCAAGGGGATCTCATAAAACTGGCTGCTAAGCTTACAGAGTTTCTGACTTAGTGCCTGGCAAGCTTGTCCATCAGCTGGTCAAGGATTCAGTTTGTTCCCAGGGATGCTCTTCAAAGCAGAATGTGGCAGGTCATGAGGTCTCTTATGTACAGGTTTCTTCAAGCACACTCCTATATCATATTATTTGTGTGAAACTGATACTATTTATTCTCTTTCCGATATTTCATTCCACACAGAAATCTGTCAGTCAGTTCTATTTTATTAGGTTGTTTGGGGGCCAGATTAAGTGAGCTCAAGCAGAAGGTTGTGTCGGAGAACCCACAGGAGTATGGTGTTGCAGTTCCACGTGAGTAAAATTTACTGACTTTAGTGTGTTGTCACTCTATTCCGTAAATGCTGTCTAATAGTGTAGTGCTAGCTGCATTGATGAATGGTGATTGGTATTTTGGCTATTGATTGTATGCATAGTTCAGAAGTACTTTGATTATTTTCTCATTGTAATACATTTTGTTTGCACTTAGTAGCTGAATAGATCACTGCATCACTTGGCACATATGCACTCTGGATTTCTGTCAACTCAGTTGGTTTTTTTGAATTGTGTTTTCCCAAGTGAACAGATTGCTGTTTTCAAAGTGTCCATTAAAAAAAAATGAGAAACTCAATACAGGAAGAAAAACTAAGATTACTGTAAATTGCAAAAAGAACTAGTGTGAAAAACTAGTATTTTAAGATTCAGCCAAACCATTACATGTGTTTAAAAGAGGATGGTTTTTCTTCAGAGTATCATACCAGCTAAACTTAAAAAAAAAAAAAAATAGACAGTAATAAACCACATCCAAATTTTTACAAAATTTTCAGTTGATTATTATATCTAGGCTGTTCAACAAGCCAGTCACAGCGATAGAGACATTGCTGATTCTGCGGCATGGGTTTGCGGCCCGAGTTACACTGACACTTTGCTGGATTATTTTCTAAAAAGAAATATTAGACATGAAAAATCCATCAATATTTGTGTTCTTCAACAAGCTCCTTTTGCAAACTGAAAAATTAACATTGAGGGCGCTCCTTGTATGTTGTTCAGGACTTTCAGTAAAGGTCTGTCAGGCAGACGTTCAGTTAGCAGAACTCACATGGGTGATTTTAACTTGAATTTAAATACATACACAAAACAATAGCAGACACCACTTTTATGACCAGGCATGGATTTATAAAGTGATCCTAAAAAACAAATCTTACAAAAGCTTATAAAAAGCTTTATTAAAAGCTTCTCCTACAGTAATAACAATCATTGAAAGAAACTACAACATCAAAGGTAAGGGACACTCATAATTATGTACGTTTCACAGTAGCGTGGGAAAACAGCCAGGGATATTCTTACTCTGAATTCAGAGGCAACATAGGAGGTCTTTAGATAATTTCCTATTTTTATTTTCTAAGTTTCAAAGAAAATGAGAATCCAATATTCCAGACAGTTGAGAGATACTGTTTTACATAGGATACACTCAACTGCTTCTGCTAGGTGTAAGAATTACACCTCCTAATTTTTGTGTTACTTATAGCATGCTTGGGAGCAAAACAACTTCAGTTTTGGTCTTACAGTTTTTGAGCTTGAGTTCAAAACAAAATTATCATGTTTGATTTTTATTTTTTATTAATTTGAATTTGTCAGTGTGTAACTACCTTGTTTGAGGTCATGAAAACGTGACTGGAACTAAACAGAGAAAATACAGTTGTTGGCAAAGGCTGATCTGTCTCCCGTGTCTTGCTTCCATTCTCTTTTAGATACAACCAGGTCAAAGAAAAGTCATGAGAAAGAGGGAGTAGAATACAATTTTGTCTCTAAGCAATCATTTGAGACAGATGTGCAGCAAAACAAGTGAGTTAATTTGCAAATACTGGCATAATTGTATTTCAAAAATGTTGCTAGTTAAATCTTGCATCACGTGAATACCACAATCAGGTGTAAAGTTGGACTGGCTGTGTTAGAAGGGTTCAGCTTTCCAAGTAAAAAGCTCTTTATTCGGTCTGGACTGTTAGCGTGAACTCAGAAATTGAGTTAGAAACAATTAGGAAACAGCATAGGAGTAGTGGAAGGATTGTAAATTAGAATTTAAGCCTGTGTATCATAAGTAGTATGACTGGTGGGAACTGAACCTAGTGAGAGTAACAGATGTTGAGTTAGGCCCACTTATTCTCCATTTAATATGATGGGTAACAAGTTTTCCTCATAAATCCACTTCTAAAGGGTGTTGTAGACTGAATCCATGGTTATACATGACTTTCTGTGAGATCGAGTGCATGAATTGGAATCCATTTCCTTGCCAGCTTTGTTCTGTCTTCTGGGCAAAGCGTCCTCTTTGGTCAGCTTGAACATCAGTGAACTGAATCAGTGCAGCTTCTTCCCCTATTTGTCAGTAGTGCTGCTTAGCTCTTGGTGACGTGTGAAGAAGACTACTGCTGCTAAGCAACCAGGAGGGAAAAGATAGACAGAAAAAAGAAACCGCTTCCCCCCCACCCCATTTGACTTACTGTGACTTCAGGAAACAGCTAGTGAATGTTGTAAGTTAAATAATCTTTGTGGATGATATTTAAAAATGTCTTGACTTTTTAGATTTGTGGAACATGGAGAATACAAAGAAAATCTCTATGGTACAAGCCTTGAGGCAATCCGGTCCGTGATGGCCAAAAAGAAGGTTTGTTTGGTGGATGTGGTACCTGAAGTAAGTTCTGCAGCTTATTTTAAAGAAAGCAAGTATTTCTTACTAGGCCGCCAGCCTAAGTAAACTGGTGGTGGTCACCATTTGTGGCTGCTTCCTCTGCTCTCGGAACCTGTGTTTCTAACGGGTGGCCTGAGTGCTAGCTGAGTGAAACGGGGCTCTTCAGAAAGCAGCACAGCATTCCCAGTTCCTAGGTCCCTCGCTGATGCAGCCTGGATGCCACTTCATCAGTTCTCACTGAGGGATATTTCCCTTGCTGTAGGAGAAGCGTGCATCGCTGCCCTAGCCTGCTCAAGTCCTGGAAAGAACACTTCCAGCATGGATGAGTGTTTCATTCTTGTTCCTTCCTATTGCCTCTGAAGCATTACTAGCGCTGTAACCAGTGCCAGTATACCTGTTCTTTTAATTCCTCCATGCTGGGAGTTAATCTTTGAAATTTTGGCTCAGATTTTTGTCACTGGGCTAGGACAAGACTTGTCATACTACCTCAGATTAATTCCTGGTTTAAAATTTCCAGTGTTTGGCCTCTTAACTGAAGAAAACCGTAACTTGCCTGTCAAGTCAACTTTATTTTTTTATACTCTTCTCAGTATCTTTTGCGGTGTTCTTGTTCCTGGGAGCACGATGTGTAGCAAGGCAGGTGTCCAGTCCGACCGTGCTCCAGGAAGCGTGTGTACTCGTGTCAGCTAGCCAGGACAGGGACATTTACCTTCTTTTTGAAGAGCAAAAGGTTACTGTGGTCAGATGTTCAATACACAGGACTTCACGCCACAGTGTGTACTAGTGAAACTGTGGAAGCCAGCTTGAGTAGATCATTGATATATAGCAAAACAAAAAAAATAATTAAAAAATGGTGTAACAAACCCCATCTGTTCACAGGCAGTAAAGCACTTGAGGACTCCTGAGTTTAAGCCTTATGTTATCTTTGTGAAGCCTCTCATTCCAGAAAAGAAAAAAAATGTCCTAAAATCTCCCACGTCAGAAGAAATCTCAGCCCCCCTTGTAAGTATTCTAACCTCTTCTCTTTAGACATGAAAGGAGTATTTGGACTGGCATTTCTATGATACGGAAGAGCTCTGCTTCCATGACAGTGAGAGTCAGAGCAGGGCACTAAGTGGGAGCCTTTCAGCTGGAGCTTTAGAATGAGATTTTTGACTCCCTTAGAACTTGGCTATGTAAGTAACATGAAGCAAAGTGCACGTCTTCCATGTGGATCTGTGCACATCGCTGAAGGCTGCAGCAGAGGAAGCTGCCACTGACTCGGATAAACTAATAATCATTTCCCTTTTCTGGTGAGCAGCCCCATCAAAGGGTAAGGGTGACCACCTATTCCTGATCCCTCCAGGGCAACACCCACCCAGGCTGTCTATTTGGTACACACAAAAAGCAGCGTGTGGGTGTCTTACAAGGACCAAACCTAGACCAGCTGCAAACTGGTGATGTGAAAATGTGAACAGAAATACTGAGAGTGCATAACATCATTACTTTGGGTAACCTGAACTTAAATTTATGCATAACAGAACATAGTTCACTTGGTAAGTTTTCATGTAAGCTCTTAAAATTACTGAACTTGGGGACAGTGGGTCCAGTGTTCCTTTTCACCTTTTGAGGAATATGATTTCCAGGGGTTAGGTTAGGCCGTGACTCTAACTTCATAAAATGCAGCGTCACCATCCTACCTCCCTCCTGTAGCATTTTTTCCCCCCTTCCCTATCACCTCTTGCATGTTTTTGAAACAGCCTACCACATTCCAGCAGTAGTGCACTGCTCCTTGATAGCACTTGTAGTACCTTACGTACCCCTTCCTAATGCTAGCAGCTCCTGTTTCATTTCCTTTCAAAGCAATGACTTATTGTGCTAATATACTTTAAAATCCTACTAATTAAAAAGACATGCTGTAAACTTCACACCATCTTCTCGTGTTGATCAGCAGGATGAAGAACAGCAGGAAATTATTAATTCGGCAGCATTCATTGAAGAGCAGTATGGCCATTTAATTGACACCGTACTGGTGAAAGAAGATCTCCAGAGTGCATGTAATCAGCTGAAAACTGTGTTAGAGAAACTAAACAAGGATTCATTTTGGGTGCCAGTCAGCTGGGTTAGGTCATAGCTCATTATCGTCTGTTTAAGGGAAAGATTGTATAAAAACTACTTGTAAATACATGGATTTGAAAAAGGAAGTATGTCAAATTCACTTCAAAACTGCTGGTCTGTCCAGAAGGTAAAGACATAGGAGAAAAACTAAGCAAAGTCAGAAGCTGACACTGCCTTCCTGAATCAGAATCTTGAATAGCAGCTGTCACTTAAAAGCGACTACACAAAGATCAGCAAAAGACTGGAGTGACTTTTGGGCTGTACATAGTGCATTTTGTACAGTGAAGTTTCACAGAGGGTCCCACACTTCCAAGACATTAAGTAGTGCTTGGACAGTAACCAGCTGGATTTTTCATCCTTTGGCCACAACTCTGGTGGCTGGAGTTAAGGCATCTGGACAAGGCACGGTTCGGGAACCAGCCTGCCTGCAGACCAAGCCACTTCAGCCAGGCAGGGGGCAGAGCGCTTATACTATGTCCAAGACTCAAAAATCCAATTGGCTGACAGGGCAGCCACTTCCCTTCGCTCAGGATCATTCATTGCAAATCCTTTCCAATTGGGCACTAAAACTAGGCCAGTTATACAAGTGGTGTATATTTTAGTGGCTGAGAAATGGTTTGTGGGGAGTTTTTTTGGTTTGTTTTTTTTTTTTTTAATATCCATCCCACGTTTCCTAGTGCTTCCACCTTGTCTTGCAGAGGTATGAGTCTGCTCAGCCATAGCTTATGCCCACTTTCCCAATCTCTTCCTACTGACGCAGGACAGATGTTAAATGATCTGTGAACACACCCGCATGACTAGCCAGCTCATAAACTAGAGACTTTTTTTTTTTTTTTTTTTTAGTCTACATGAAAATAACTACATATGATTTAAAATAGACTTTTAAGAAGCTTATTTTCTGCAAAATATCTTTGCAAATGCCACCTGATGGGATACCACCTTGACACCGATGTAGCAGCTCCAAAAAGGCCGCTAAAAGGAGGAGGCTGAAGTACCAAGTAGCCGAGCTACAGAGCCAAATCCTCACCCTTCCAGCATCTGTGGCCACCTGTGTTCCTTCCACTGCATCAAATTGGCTACGCGTCCTGAAGAAGAAATCCTAACTGTTAGAGGACTCTATGTATGTTTCAGGAGCCTTGAATATACAGGATTTTTAGATGGGTGTTAATAAGAAAACACAGATGATTTGGAAGCGCCTATGCTTTATAATTATTTAAAAAAAATAAAGAGTATTGTACAGGTGCATGTTAGCTGAAACTAGTTCCCGTTTCCCAGTGCCTGATGCGGTCTGATCGTTCCTGTGTGCTGTGCCCTTTTACCAGGACCTTCTGGTGCACCAGCCTCATTCCTTCATCTTCCCAGTATGATGTTATTCTTGTTCCACTGCATTTAGCAAAACTAACAACATTGCATATTAAAAGCTCAGTTCTTGTATACCAGTGTCACTGAATCTACATTAACTCTAGCCCCAAGAGTGGCGTAGGACACTCGCCTGTATCCACCTTCGCCCAACGTGTGTAACGTTGCCCTGCCTGTAGGCGTGGAGGTTCCCGTTCCTGCAAGAAGCAGCACTTTCCACAGTTGGAGCCTGCTCCGGCTTGGCACAGCATCTGCGCTGCCTCAGCAAACGTACAAGGACTCCTTCATCTGCAGCTGCCCCATCAGCTCTGCCATTAACTCTCTACAATCTTGGCCCAGCACAGCCACCAAAAGTAACGTGGCTTCCAAGAGAGACACATCGCCAAGTGAATTTTGTGACACATGTCCTGTGTTCATATGAAAAACTGAGTGTAATATTTTAAAAACTATAACAGCATTTCAAACTCAGTCATATCATGAAAATATGAAATGGGCAGATTGATCTCGCCCTAGATCTATATTGCAGATTACAAGCAAGCTTTCGTAGTCTGCAAGACCTAAACATGTTCAGATGATGGAGATTTAATTTAAAGAAGACTAGGTAAGGTCAGAATTCACTTAAAGCAAGGTTGCTATCTAACATCTTAGACTATTCCAAGTGACTAGCAGTAAATAAATCAATTTGTATGCTTTATGATCTAACATGCTAATAGTAGAAATGTGCATTAAGAGAAGCAAGGCAAGTGACATCTAGAGGTCACCTGAAGTTATAATAACTGAAAACATAAGATGTTAAGATACAATATTGCTATTAAAAGTGAACTGAAGCATTCAGTGTGAGTTAAGTAATTTTCTAAGTGTGTGCAGATGCTCTGTATTGATGTACAAGTCACAGATACTAACTTGGGATACTGTCAAACGTTTGTTTCATTTTTTTAGGTTCAAAGTTAGGGCTGGAGAGGCTCTGTGTTACATGCTAAAGTGCACAGGTAGCTGAGCTTCAGTTGTAGGAAAAAAAGAACACCTGCAATGCTCCTATTTATTCTGAAATCCTAGGAAGAGAGTACATGCAGAAGATGATTGTGATCAGGAAAGCCTCCAATTCTGACAAGATACTGAGTCCCTGCTGCATTAGCCATGCCTGGTATATGCTCCTGCCATTAGCGAGGAAAAAGGTGAGAAGGGATTCTAAAGAAAATCAGAGTGCAGATTCACTTTAATTCAAAGAAGTCCTGCTTTGTAAATAGTGCCAAAAGCTCTAAGTCAGAGTACTTAAGCAAACTGAAACTCCTCCCACTTATCCCTCTCCCCCTTCCTTGCTCACACCTAAAATTTATGTAGTCTCTCCTATTTATCTTTTTCTGGTTTTCAGCATTGAAGGATGAGCCCTGGTTAATTAGATCTAGAGTTTTCCAGTGGTCTTCCATACACTGGCTGTATCCGAAACTGCTTCCCTTTCTAAAAAGCAGTTGTGTACGGTACCTCCAGGGCATGCTTATGTCAGTGAGCTCAAACCTGCATTCCAATGGTTTTGAAGAATCCATTTCTCCAGCCAAATTTACAATAGGATTAAGATGACGATTTACTGTAAAATATGTACCTTTCACCTGGCTGCAAGATGCGCTCAGATTAGTTCCCTGATACCTCTGCCCCAGCTTCGTATGATGTGTACGTTGTTTTTATAAAGTGAAACCTGCATTAAAACAGCATTCTTTACTCCTGTGAGGAGATAAGGGACCTTGGAGCAGTCTGCTTGAAGTGCCTGGTGTTCTGCCAGGAAAAAAAAAAAATTGCTATGGGTTTTGTCATCAGGGCTAATTGGGCACTGTAACAAAACTGTAATTAAGTATACTTCATCCTTTATTTCCCTACTCCTACACATCCTGTTCCCTTTGTACACCAGCGACTGACTTACTGGCATTCTCAGTCATCTGTAGGAGAATCATAACACTATTTGTTAATGCACCCTGTACGTTCTTCCACCTGCCTGAGAACATGCCACAAGTTATCTGTGCGATCCCTACAGATTTTGAATACATATTTCAATGATCAGCTATCATTGCCTTTTTCTAAACAATAACTATTAGCTCTTTTTTTTGTAATAAACACATCTTAGTTTGTCTAGAATGGGATACAGAGTATCTAAGTTCAAAAACCACTCATCATCGGCTACCTCTTACAACCAGGTATCACCCCAGATACCTCACATCGAAGGTATTAAGAACACGCTAAGACACGACTGTGTTCTGTCCTTTCAGATAGCATAGAAAAACATGGTGTAGGGAACCTGAGGAGGAGCAAGGGGGATACGAGGGACAGCTACAAAGATGCTTTCCCTTACAGTTGTGATTGATAATTGAGCACAACTCATCATAAGCTGTGTCTCATGGGGGAAAAAGGCTACAATTATATGAAGTAAAACCTGGGAGATTGGCAAGTTCCTAATTAGGAAGTTGAAAAGACAGAGGAAAAAAAAAGCTGCCTAGGATTCAATGGCTTTCTAAACTTGCAGTGAAAAGCTGGCTGGGGCTGTTACTGCAATTTGGTTCCACTTCTGTAACGTGAAGGTTCTTGTTCAGGTGATTTTTTTATAAAGAAACACAACGTTACTGTTTATTGCTCTGCCCTAACTGAAATTAATCTTGTTGCTTATGCATGTGAGTGAGTATACAATAGAAAGATTAAGTCCCGAATGTAATACACTGGCCTTTTCTTTATACTAAAATATTGGCAATATTTATTGAGAATATCAGAGCAAAATAGCAACAAAACACAATTTCAGCAAAGCGGCCATTAGCACTAAGACCACACCGGCTTTTTTTCATGTAGGCAGCCCTTCAACACAAATTTCTAACTGAATTTTGTTCTAGAAAATGCTTCCTTTGCACTCCCTGTTCTAATTACCTAACACTTTCTTAGTACTTTCAGATTTTTAAGGTAAAGTTTTTTTCTAGTTCAATATACAGTTAGCTAAATAGCTATAATTTTAAAAGCATCCCAACACAAATTCTTTAGTTTGAAGTTACAATAAAATAGTATTTATACAAAACAAAAATTAAAGCACATCCCTGCCAACCAGTCCCAGAATTCTTTTGATCATAGGTAGGCTTACAGTCAACAAGCCTCTTCAAAATACCTTGGTTTTCCACAGTGACATTCATTATTTTCCTGTTCTGCTTGCCTCTATTTGAGCTAGAAACAAAAATGAGCACATTTGAAAACACATTTTCTGGCTAATGAAATTATATTTGTAAGGTACACGTATAGATATGTATAGAGAGAGAGTTGTAAATGCCCATGGTCAAACTTGTGTTATTTACCCCCAGACCCACACATCCCCCTCCCAACCTCTCCTGTAATTGGGTATTGCCTTTGGGCAGCATTTCCCTAACAGCGTGTTAAGGGCTGACCTTTCTCGCAGCTCATCGTCACCTCCTCTCCCTGCACAGTTCTGTCTTAAGTCAGACTTCTGCCTCCATAACTTTAGTTACTCTTTTACAGCATTCAACAACTGCAGGCACCACCGAATAGGTCAAGGCATCTCACTTGTGAAGATCTAAAAGCATAACTGCATGCGGAAAGAAGCGACAGAACAGCTCTTGTCAGTAGGTAAGGGGAGGCAGCAATAGCACTGACGCTCAGTAAAGGAATGTGCAGTGCATGTGCAGACAGAAGCCAAAGCAGAACCCCAGTACAGGTATTTCTGTTCACTTCAGTGACAGTTACACAGGCACACTTTTCACAAAAGAAAACAGCTCCATAAAGAGCAACTTTGCAGAGCACAAGCTTGAATAGTTCCAAAGTGAGGTTAAAGTTTTATAGGCCTTGTCTTCAGCTGTGTTGTGGTAGCACTCATGACAAATCACTGGTGGTGCTCAGGAAGGCACTCCCACTGATACAAATTAACTTCAGAGTGATGAATCATCAAGACATTCATCTTAAAAAAAAAAAAAAGGCAATTTTTTCTGTTCTGACTTGGCAAGGTCCTGTAATCACGAACAATTGTCTTTGGATTTGTCGCTTGTAAACAAGCATTTCAGTTTACATTTTAAATGTTTTTAATATTATCCCCAAATCTGATACTTTTACAGCATTACAGGCAGCCTACCAGAAGTCTTTTAGAGGCATTGCTACCAAGATCAGAGTCTAGGCTAACAGCTTCCGTGACTCAGTTTGTTTTTAAGAAAAGGCAGTGAGTTTAATGGGGGGGAAAAGGTAAAGAGGCTGTTATCTGGCAGAACTTCATAATGGGACTGGCAATAGACAGACTCATCCTAGTGGAAAGTCTTCCATAACCAGCACATTTTATATTAAATTTAATTTGAGCCCTGCAGCTGCTGAATGAGGGCAGGAACACCTGTTTGCAGAGAGCCCCGTTCACTGCAAAAAGGATCCACAGTGTACACCAGCCCCAAATGACTGCTCCATTTCACCACTGATCCTCGGCACAAAGTATTTAAGAGCAGCAAGGGGTAACTTACAGTGTACTGCACAGGAAGGGGTTTTTTTCCTGCCAAACGTTAATAGATATGCCTCTTCACTATAACCCTAATATTAAGTAATAACTCAACTTATTATTTGGGAACACGTAGCAATTTTGACTACTTAAAACCATCTGAAATAGGGAAACAGTGTCACTGCTCAGGGTGACTCCTGACTGTTAACTACATTTAAGGGAACATGGTTGCCTAAAAGGCTCCCACGCCATTCTGGGGAAGCAAAGCTGTTCAATAATTTTCCAAAATGGAGTACTACCTTATGTTATGCTAAGGCAGGAATTTCAGAAAAAGCCCATGTTGAATGCTGTACAGCAGAAGCACAATACTCTAAGAAGCATTATGATTTAATAGTGGAAAATCTGACAGTTACCAGAAAAATATCTGGAGATACCAGCTGTGCATAAGGGAAATAGAAATTCTATTTTGTTAATGAAGAGAAATGTATTTTGCTAATCAGTTTGGGGTTTGCATCTACACAACTGGTGGCGGGTCAAGCAAGGCACAGACTAGCGCTTGGCTCCCCCATTTTTAAGAAAAAGTCTATTCAGACAGAACAGCCACCTGTAGATTTAAGCAAGTGGGCAGTATGCACCACATAAGCTTTTCTGCTGCTGTGCTGACGATTCCATTAGCTGGACTCCCCGCTTCTCTGTGCTTTTATCCCAAAGATCTGGTGTCTGCAGGATCTTTAAAACTAGTTCCTCAAAGGCATGTTGCACTCCATCCTGCGTCTTGGCACTGGTCTCTGGTGGAGGGGAAGAAAAAAAAAAAAGAAAACCAAATGTATTTTATCTTATTGCAGGGGGCATTCCACTGTGTAAGACATTCTTTTGGAACCAGAGAGAAGATAATTTTTTTAATAAGTGAACCCTCCTCTCCATTCTCCCTTAAAGACACACTTAAGTTGAATATGACAAACAGAAATGCATTCCAGTCTGAATCACCTCATTTTTCCCCCTAAAATATTCTATAGCCCCATAATGGAGAAACAAAAATTGTTCTCAGGTTGTGATAGTAAATCTACTAGAAAATTATTCCATAACTAAGCTGGGAAACAAAGAACACAGAGGGAATTACACATTTTCCCCTAAGTGTTTGTTCCAGTTCCTTCTAGAAATCTTTTCAAGAAGCTTCACCTAAAAGACACCTTTTTAAAAAAAACAAAACAAAACAAAAAACCTCCACAACACAATTTGTTCCCCATCTTTATAACTTCACGTTGTACATTTTATCCTTGGTCTAAGAATATTGTCTTTGACGTAGCTGCAACAGAAGGTTGGAGATGAAAAAGAGATTACCCAAGGTCCTTGCTGACATTAGTCAGGAGAAAAATTCCAGTCTTCTCTGCTCTGAATTAAGAAATCCTGCTAGTTTTAGGAGAACACAAAATTTATGCCTGCGCAATATATGAAGTAAATCTCTTTCTGAGAAAAGTATTTCCAATTGCAGTCAATGCAGAGCATCTCTGAAAAGTTAAAACCTACATCCATGCATATGAACTAATGCAGCAAAAGGAACCCATATTAATTAGGTACTAAAAAAGTAAATCAACCTATCAACCTGAAATACAATTGTACACTTCCTCCACACTTAGCAATACCAAAATAAACGTATACAGGGGTTTGGCACAGAGTTACATACCTATAAAAAGCAGCGAGCGTTTCCTAGCAAACTGGAGTCCTTCTTTTCTCTCTACTTCACGATCAGGCTGCAGAGACGAATGAAGAACATGACTAAAATAAACTACACTCACCACTTCTACGAAGTCCCTGGCAAAGCACGGCTGCAGAAGTGAAGTTTTGCTGAAAAGAAGAAAGCCTATAAACCCATGTAGTAATCAGCAACCGGATTTTCCCACTCTGCAGCCAGCTTACTGCTGGGCAGACTATTAGGGGGTCAAATCGAACAGTAGCAACATCAAATCAGTAGCAAATGAATGTGCTGCTCTCTTCTGAATCAACTAGGAGAAAGATATAGCCAGAAAGGAGGTTTCAGTAGTCAAATGGCTGAAAAGGCACATCAAAGGATGTGAAAATTGACAGGTTTGGAAAGGGACAGAAGAGAACCTAGTTCAGGATAGCCACTCTGGAAAACCTCATGTAGTAAAGCAAGAGTGAACCATCTCGCTATGCAACAGGCAGCTAAGATATGTGAAAACATCCCAGAAACGTACAGCAACCAGTGCACCTCACACCCAGACATGCACACTCCACAGCCACCTGAAGAGCTGAATTCTCCTTCCCCACCACATGTCCAGAACAGAGTCCGGTCAAAAAAGAAAGCAGCAGTTGTGCTGTTGCGTTGCAGTTGACTTCAATGGTATACAGCAGTTTTTAGGCAGAACCTCTCACTGTCTTAAGAGAATCACTCTCATCAATTGCATTTCTTCAGGAGAGCTTCCATTAAAATCTTTAACAAGATCTGCTTCAACAGTAAGTGGAGCCTGCCCAATCTAGGTTCCTCAGTTACAGAACACATCACCTCCCCACACAACAGATGTGTTAGTTTCAGCACTTCTCTCACATTTACACTCTGTCATGACGGAGTAATCTGTGGAAGAGCAGAGAAGATGGATTTCTAAACTGACCTTATCGGTTTTATTGCCAACTAACATCTTCACAGTGTTGCTTTTGGAGGTATACATTTCCAGCTCATTCAGCCAGCTCTCTAGTCCTGCGAAAGTGTCTTTTCTTGTAACATCATACACTGGTAACAGAGGAAAAGGAGCTTAAAACCGTAGAGTCTTGAGCAATGTTTACTTCACTATGGCAGGACTTAGTCCCTACTAGCTAACTAGCGCCCCAAACCCAAGCAGTGTTAGGGAATTAAAGAAAGATGCATCAGCCGTACCCTGTTCCCGGAGCTGGAATGCATTGGCTGTGCTCACCCAAAGTCTCCAGGGATTACAGAACACGAGCGTCTCTGCAATAGCTCTCTGACTGGAAGTCAGACTTACCAGTTGAAATCTTATACCTGCTACTAGTTCTCAATAGGGCCAAACAATATTTTAAAATAGGTATTTTGTCACCTCATTTAATGTATAACTACATACATGCACTGCTGCTAAAAACACAGATTCTGAGTTAAAAAAAAAAAAAAAGATTTTTGGTCGCTGGTAACTTCATATCTACATTTACTTAACTTCATAACTACTTACTTAATCACTAAGGTTTAAAAACCCACATCACAGTCAGAGTATTTTGTATAGCAAGGTGTTCAGCCTTCACAATCCCAGAGAATTAGAATCCCTTCTTTTTCTAATTGGTGTTGTCACGCAGAAAGGGACTAGCTGTCCTTTACTTGTGCTATAAACCCCATGTCTTAGAGTAATCATATCATATCAATAATTTCAGGGGGAAAAAAAAAAAAAAGAAAAAAAATTGGGAAAAAAAAAAAAAAAAAAAAAAAAAATCAAAAAAACCCAATTTGCCCTATAACCAGAAACTCACCAAAGTAATTACTACAAAAATAATAATTCATCCACTGAACAGCTTGCACTGAGACATCTCTGTATTTTTAAATTAAAGTATTTTGAAGCAGCATTATTTCCTGCCAGTGGTTTTGCATACTCAGTGTTTGAGCTAATGATGCAGTAATGTTGTAAAAACCATAATTGTTCCTCCGATTCTCTCAGACAACCTCCTTTTGTAAAGACATGCACAATTAGGCAGTAATAAAGACCACGCTTTTTGTGATTATGTTTTTGTTCCATATACCTCCTACCTAAAACAACCCCTTGAGCTCCGCGGTAATAACTGGGAGTCAGTGTTCTAAAGCGCTCCTGTCCTGCTGTGTCCTACGGAGGGGAAAAAAAAAAAAACAAACGCCACACAAAAAAATGTATTTAGAACAAAAAAAGGTATTTAAAACAACATAATTTTTTCCTGATCAGTAAGGATATGTGAAACCATAAGAGAACAGAATGAGGCAAGCAATCAGAAAACATTAACAGCAGCAACAGGAAATGGGTAAGGAGGGGTAGAAAAGCACGGAGGGGACTTGATGGAAGGTTAAAGCCACGAGCAGACACCTGTAACATGAGCGAGACAACAAGAGAGTCAGTGGGACTCATGAGAAATACATAAAAGGCAATTATTGCTGCAAGCCAAGCGGCTGAATCTGTGAACAATCAGCTGAACTGAATGGGTGAGGAACAAGTGGTGAGAGACACTGCAGGAAAGGAGACACAGCGATTCTAAAAATCCCCCTTTGCTCCTCCACAGCAGGAAAGGAAAATCCAGTTAAGAAAGAACTACTTCAAGTTTGCTAAGATTCTAAGCAGATAAATTTAAAATCAGTAGTTTCATTCAATCATTACCGCAGTATGTCACACCTACTCCCAGAAATCTTCAAAATAGCTCTTAAGTGCAACATGAAGTTCGAAAACCCTCAGAACAAACAATAAGGAGGCCAAAGAATTGCACAAATCTGATTTTTACCAAACAAAAGATAAGATTTATTTCAATTTAGGCACAGATTACAATAGACAGGCTAACAGCTATGTTGTAATTTATTCCTTCTCTGTTAAAGAAACTAAAATTGGCAATATATTTACTTAAAATTGAGGTCATCGTTACTAAGGAGATTGTACTCTTAGGCATCCATGGACACTTACAGCAGAAGCCTCTTTTTGACCCCGATGCACTCATTAAAGTTTTTATTAACGTTGCACAACGGCACTGTTTTCCCCCCCTCCTAATTAGCAGTTTCTCCTGATGCTGTTAACAGACTGCTGCAAAAGTGCCTTTTCCAGCCATACAGCTTGTGCAAGTTCTGGCCTCGCTTTTCATTTCACGGCGAGGCGACGCACCCCTCCCTGTGAGATCATGAGGGCAAACACATCTCGGTTACTCTCAGCAAAGCTGCTGCTTCATGCGGAGTGCATTCCAAACGCAGCCAATACGCGCATTCGCTGGCTAGAGCAACGTGACTTTATCACTCGCTCTGCATTCTGTACACAGCGCGTATGGAAACAAGAAAATAATTCAAGTTTTGGCATTTATATTACTCCCGTTAATACCAGCCCAAGGCACTTTTCTCCTCTTTTTCCCATCATCCCAATTACTTCATTCGTAACGGCATGTTCTTTCTCAAATACCTATGGCCTTACGCATAAAATCTCTTCCTTCTAGGGCTCTTTCATTCCATTTAGGAGAATAAAAGTGGTGCTTTAATATTATAAATAATCCTGATCCCGCAGCTCCCATCTGATTTTGCAGGTGCTGGAAATAGAGCATGAGGAAGCTCAAGTCTCCCAGTGAAGCTGAAGCAACCTTTAAATAGTTCAGGACCAAGTATATTTTTTTTCCCCCCCATGATTTTAACCAAAATAAAGCACCTGGACTGTTTCTGGTATAGTATGCACGCAGCTGCTGCACGGCCCCTACGGGAAATCACGCAGCTCATCACCCAGAACATCCCTTTTCTGCAGTTGCCTCGACTGTGTCTGTCGCAGGAGCGGTCCTGGGTCACACCGACACGGAACGCCTGCCCTTCCTGCAAGGCCACATCTCCACGGGTCTAACACCTCACAGAGGGTTTGAGAAACCCGGTAGAAGCGCAGGAAAGAGCGGTCAAAATCTCTGCTGGAAGCGCAGGAAGCCCCAAACTCAGAGCAAGGAGGCACCGATGGGTGTTTTGAAAGAACCTCGTCTGCGACTCCCGTTTGCCGTACGCTCACGACAGACGCTCATCCTACGGGCGTTCGCATCTTAAGCGCGCAACCTCAACATGCAGAAGACTTGAACAAGGCTGGAGGCGGAGGAAGGAAGGAAGAGAGGCCCACAAGAAGCAGCTCTTAAAAGTTTTCACGTCTGTCGAGAACAAAACCATATCCGTCTGGAACGAAACCTACCCATATCGCAAGCTGGACCACATGGCCGTCTACCACCATCTTCTTCACTTTAAAATCAACACCTAAGGCGTAAGAAGAAGGGAAGGCCCGTCAGGAGCCGGCCAGGGCCCGTCAGGAGCCCGCTCCCCCCGCCCGCCAGGCGCCCGCACGGCCCCGGCTCCCACCGCCGCCCCTCGCCGACGGGACCCAGGCGAAAAACAGCGGAAAAC